TCCATTTAATTTTGACATTCATATTTTTCATTGATTGTTTTTCATGACATTGGTATATATATATATATATATATATATGAAGTATAATAGAATGAAAATAATTAATAATAAGATAATAATTATAATAATACATTAGTTAAATAAAATAATTATTAATAATTAATAATAAATTTCTCTCTCTCTCTCTCTCTTTTTGTTGCTTTTGTGGCTTCAATAGATGGCGCTTTACTCTTAATATTTCTTTCTACCTCCTTGTTTTTTTGCACTCGCTATTTTGGCGGTATTCTTCACATAAAGAGGTAAGACTAAAGAACTTTCTTCTCTTTATTCGAGTTATTTTAATTTTTGAAGATGTTCTTTTTTTCCCTTCTATTCTACTTTAGGACTTTTTGGGTCAATTGGGTGTTAATTTTTCGCGATGTCAAACACCTAAAGTTAAAAAGTCCCGTTTTGAATATCTGCTTTGTGTTTGACCCCTGAAAAAGTACATAAAGCAGACATCCTCCACTTTTTTAGTCTTCACTCTGCTAAATATATGTATATGTGAAATAATTTAGACATTTTAGTTCTTTATTGGAAATAAAAAATTGATGACGTCTTACTCTTGTAGAATATTGCTATAATATAAAAATAGATTAAATTTTTAAATATTAATACAGTCTAACACCTCTAGGTTTTTAAAAGTCATTCTATTTTCAAAATTTTATGCATTATTAATTTCCATTTCTGTGACGGATGTTAATTTAATCCGATAATGTCTGGAATTTTTCTGAAAGCATGAAATTTTATCGTAGTCTCCTATGGGTTTTGTAAAGTTATTCTGTTTCAAAATTATATTTATTATTACTTCATTCTTAACCTTGTTTCAGATTTGCACGTTATGTTCTTATTTAAAAACTGTATGTTACTTTCAAATGCAATTCAAAATAACATGTTTTAAAAATTCACCCATCATGAATTCAAATTTAGTAAAATGCGGTAAAGGGTAGATAAATGACTTTTTCCTTAGTTTATATAATTTTATTCATTTTTTCATTTTTATGTCGTTTGACATACAAATAGGGTCACATAAATACTACAGCTACTGTCAGATGGGCTCTGTATCTGATAGGACTCTACCCAGATGTGCAGGCTAAAGTGCACGAAGAAATTGATTATGTATTTGGGGAAGACTCGCAAAGACCTGTAACAGATGAGGATCTCAATCATCTCCAGTATCTCGATTGCGTTTTAAAGGTAAGAATTCTATATGAAATGTAAATTTTTGATCCAAAATTATGGTAAAAGCTTTCAAATCAAAATGTTAGAGACAAAATCGTAAGTTACTGGTGACGTATTTTATTAATACTAAAATAAAAAAAGAGATCAGAACCTCCAGGTCGAAACATTATAGCATGATAATGCTTTAGATTTGATTCATCTGTCTTTATCATATCTACCCTATTAGATCAAGATATTTTGCGATATCTCCACAATGTTGCTGTAATATTCTGAATGTCGCACAACATCGTTGAGATATTTTAATTATACAAAAAAGAAAATTCAGAAGAACCAGAAGAAGTGAACAATAGTAATAACAATATACCTTTTGCGCGCAACGCAGCACCCAGTGATTGCATTCACAATATTGCCTATGATCAACTAACCTATTAAGATACAATCAAACAACAAAAAACATGCTTCAATAAAAATTATAACACATTAAGATTAAACAAATAAAATGGAAAAAAATGACAAAGAACTCGATTGGTGAACTTTTTCAAAGTGCCACTCGCCATCGGAGTTCTAAATTGGATAAATTTTCTGTCAAGGGAATGACTTAATAGTCAAATAATATTCCCTCTGTAACCTGAATTTTAATTAATTTTTATTGAAGAATCATTTTTGTTGTTTGATGGTATCTTAATTGGTTTATTGATCATAAACAATAACGTTAATGCAATCACTGGACGCTGCTGCGTTGTGCGCAAAAGGTATATTGTTCGTACTTTTGTTTACTTCTTCTGGTTCTTCTGTATTTTCTTTTTTGTTTAATTAAAATATCTTTGTTTTGTATTTTATTGGAAGTTGCTACATTTTTGCGCCATTCTGTTTAACGCAAAGTTTAATTTTTAATATCTCTTTTTAAATTATTTCACTTCAACAACATCGTTAAGACATTGTCTGAATATTGTACAGCATCTTGTGCTAACAGAGTACTAGCCGCCTTTGCCGAGCAGCTAGTTCGCAGGAATTATTGCTTGTGAAAGCTTTCAATAAAATTCTTTATGTGTACCTTGGTTTTAATGGTTGCTCTAAAAAGTAATTTTAACTTTGAAATTTAGTTAGGCGTGCAACTCGTTCTATTTTAGAACTCTTACACCTGTTCTATTTATTCTGATACTCACGTGCCAATCCTCTCTATCTGACATGCAGCCTAAAATTTGAGCTTTAATGTGAAATCGGAAATAATTAAATTTCGACACTAATGCTATAAGTTGCGTGCTGAATCGAAATATTCTCATCAAATATAAAAAGTCAATAAGTGAAATCTCTGTGCATCGTAATATTTTGTGTAATACCGGATATATTTCTTAGTTTTTGAAATGAATTTTATTTGAAAATAAAAAAAATGAGTTCACTGCAATAAGAAAGCAGAATTTCAAGCTTAAAGAGGGACAATTACTTCGCAGCAATAATTCTTACTAATCTATAAACAATCCCCCGGGGAAACCACGAGTACGTGGATGAGAAGCCACCAGATAAGTAAGCATTTCTTGCTTCTCCTGGATGTATAGTAATGGCGGGGGTTGTGTTACCTCCCTCTAGAGATAATACTTCCTCCTGCGGGAGTGGTCGAGCCGTGGCCGGTGATGGCTAGGACTCCGGTCTCAGTATTCGAGTTATTGCAGCGGCTATCGTTCAGGTCCTGGATGTCTTGGCAGGACTGAGGCAACATGGTTTATGGTTACGGTTATCGCATTCATAGATACAAATCTACACACAGCAGTAACACCAGCCTTTCACCTCCGGCTGTTGGAGCCTGTACCGGTTTAATAGACGGGGCTGGATTATTGATTGATTGATTTTTTTATGGCATAAAGGCCAACATTGACCAAGCTGTGCCATGTACCTCGGATTTTGAGATTGCATTTGCTGTTCTTCAGCCTGAAAGGAACAAAAGAGAGAAAAAGCAAAATCCTATAGGCGACAAAAGAATGTCCTTGATAGCACATAGGAAAAACTGTATGAAGGAGTCCATGTTAACGGAGGGGAGAGAATCCATGTAGATGTCGTGGTCAACCATGTGACGGATTTGGTTTGAAATTGAATGCACATCTATAATTTTTATGATAAAACTATATGTTATATAATTTAATCCTTCTAGCACTTTGCATTTTTGAGTTTTTGTGTTCACATGCACATACATGGGCGTACAGATTTCTTCTTCAAGGATTTCTTCCAAATATGGCAGAAATCTGCGATTTTGGTTTAGTGCTGCATACTAAATTCCATCCGTCAAGCTCATTTCATTTTAGTGCAGATGTAAATCCAGAAATGCATTACATTCTAGGAGAGGTCTAAGACATGAAGATTCATAAATATGTCGAAGTACAATTTTTGAAGATTGATATAGTTTCTTCTTGAATACTTCACACGAGAATGTGCAGTCACGGATGTGGGGCGGCGTGCTGTTGTGCGAAACCTACGTAAACGCGGCGGAAAAAAGTGCCCAACGTGCGATTAGGACTGCGTGGAAATTGCGTGAATTTTGAAAATAATTTTCGCAGTAATTAAAAACAAAGCGAGAATGATACTGGAGTTTTTTTATGGCAAATATATTACTCCTCATGAATTTTTGCCCGAAACCAAACATTGAAAAAGGAACTTTATTTGGAAATTCGCCTCATTTTCGGAAATGTTATAAGGAGAAAATCTTCTAAATTAAGGAAAGAATGTTTGGAGTTCTGTTCTGTTAGTCCGCATTATTCAAAACTGGTAGATTGATGTACATTTTGTAAACGAATTGGAGATTGCAGTTTAATATTTTTTTTCATATTATCGTATCAGGAATTTAGTGAGAGTTTATAAGTATTACATTTATTATTTTTTCATTGTTTCGTTCCCAAACATTTCAGATTCCTTTTTTTCCTTTCTTTTAGGCCAGATGTTGTTTCATGCTATGAATTTTTTATTTTCATTCTGAAGAAATGCTGAAAAGGGGAAGGAATGCTTTAGAAATAATAAAATTTAAAACCTAATCCATAATTATCATGCAGTATTATAGTTATAAGTTAACCATGAATTATCTACTAACATTCATAGTTATTATATAATGGACACATATTTTATCATAAAAATTATTTGTAATTTTTACACTTCTAGGAATCTAGTAGACTTTATCCATCCGTTTCGTTGTTTGCAAGGCAAGTCAATGAAGACACTAAGATCAGTAAGTGTTTTCCACTACTGTGTGTATATGTCGTTAAGTAGATTTTTCCGCCTCTTTAAAATAAATATTATATAGTAAATATTATCAAATATAGTAATATACAAAATTCAGTCAAATTCCAAACAGAATAAAAATTGTCAGAACTAATTAGGACACAAAGGTACTATTAAAAACTAAGAAAGAAAAAATTGTGGAAACCCTAAAATTAAATAGAATATACAGGATGATTCGCTACCAGGGCGATAAACTTACAGGGATGGGGCACAAAGACGATTCGGAATCACATAGCATTGCAGGTTCCGAAATGCCTTCTACGAGAGCTACGGTAATCATTGAAGCAAAAAAAATCAAAATAAACAGCAACACATTAGTGTAACGGAAATCCTTTTAATGACAAGTTTTATATTGGTTAAAAGCTACATGCTACAGAAGGTGGTCAGAAAGGTTGCCATTTCACTTTCCATAGGCTGTCGGCGAAAGTTTTTCCGCGCAAACCGTTTCGGAAACCATTGCCACAAAAATTGACGTAGGAAAGCTTTTCATGAATCACCTGTCCTATCGTGTATAGCCCCGTCTGGTATAATGGTTATTGCGTTTGCCTTCAAACTTTATGAGCGTGAGTTCGATCCCCGGCTCGGAGAAATGTGAATTTTTGTCACAATCTGCTACGAAATCTTACAAATAAGTTCAATTCAAAATTAGATTAATCAAATTAATAATTAAGCTTTGATTAATTAAAATTCCTAATTGATATACTTAATTGACATTCCAGATAACTCTAAAATGAAGTCAGGAGAAGAGGAATAAAAAAGGGGGTTGGACCCCTCTGTAGAAGCACGGCTTTGAAGAAAGAGGGATGGCTGGACACCTCTGTAGGAGTACGGCTTCAGAGGAGGTAAAGAGGTTCTATTTTTTCCGCCGAAGGAGGGTTCTTAACAAATTTTTGAAAGACCTGAAACAAGCTTGAGGAAAGCCTGAAACAAGTGTGTAATAAAAGCTTGGGGAAATCTTACTAAAACCCTTACAGAAAACCTTGTTTCTTGTTGACTAGTGAACCTTTCCGCTACCTTGCCGAAATGTTCAACACTTGTCATGGAAACCTTTGTGACAACCCTTTACATTTGCTGACGACAAGGTTTCCAAAACCTTTTGGACAAACTTTCTTTGCTATCTGGGACAGGCTTCACAGGGCACCTCATGGAATTCCTAACTTTCGGCCTGGCATGTTTCGCATCTCTCCGGCAGCTACTGAGATGCGAGAGACGACGTCTTCAACTCAACCAACGGAGGTCTCCTACACCAATGTCTTCATTTGACCCCAGCAGAAAAAGTCCAGGCATGATAGGTCCGGCGATTTAGCAGGCCACTGAACCGAACCAATACATATCCAATGCTTTCCAAACGTAGTGTTTAGGTGTTGGCGGACGTCATTGATGTAATGTAGGAGAGCCCCATCATGCTGGTACCAAATTGAGCGGCTCAACTACTGAGGAAATGGGCTTTGCAGGAAATATATGCGTCTCCCCCTTTACAATCCGCAACTCCATACGTGAGGTGCATGTCGGGCAGTTCAGCGTTTGAATATTCATCTTACTGCCTGTGAACCGGTTCGCAAATGTTGACTTCCAGCGGGATCAGCTGTTCACGCAACCTTCCTTTCAACCCCTCTATTGCATGACGGAGGCATTTCGGAACCTACAATACTACGCGATTCCGAATCGTCTTTATGCCCCCCTACGACCCCTGCAAGTCTGTCGCACTGATAGCGAATACCCTGTATATGAAATAATGCTAACCTATCCGTAAACACATTTGTTCAACTATTAAATATAAAATATTACACTTATAATTAAAATGTCACAAAAAAGATAGGGAAAATACGATCCTATATGGAAATCCACCAATTCTAATAACTTTGAGAATTGAGGACCTCCAAATCGTGTTGCCTTTGGGTTGTACTAGACCGGTATTGAAACGGTGCAGTTTTTAGCACCTGTACTTTTCGGTACAGCCTTAAGTAATTCTAAAATCTCTGCAATATATAAACTTTCTTAAGAATTGTTTTAATAACTCTAGAAGTTACAATAGATTTTACTTTGTTTGGTAAGCTGAGATGCTTATTAAAAAACCAATTTATATTTAGCCATGCGACTGGTCCGCCAGTGCAGTCCAGCGTTAAGGAAAGCTTCTGCCTCACACAATCTGCGGTTCAATTGTCCTGACAATGTATGACTTTGCAGGAGTTTTTTTGGGAAGCTCTCTAAGTACTTGTGTACTGCGGCTCCATTTATACCCGCTTCGCCATAAACGTAAAGTGAGAGTATATCCACCAATTCTTTGCTACTGAGCTGCTCATCCATTACCTGAAATGTTATCGTTTCCTGATCTCGAAAATCCCTGCAAAATCCCCCTGTGGCTGTTGCAGGTCGCGTTTTGGTGTGGACAAAACTTCCTCTGTGTAATTTGATCATCATGGTCTGACAGACGATTATGTAAATTTATAGACTTTTTTAGCACATACGGTATCAAGAATCAGGGCTCACTATGTACCAGGAATGTACCAATAGCTAATATTTTTTAATCGATCTTATTAGTGTTTTTATGCTTGGTTGGTTTGGTTTTCCTTTTTCTTCTAAAATAATGCTTGTTAGATGGTACTGATCGCCTTTGTCTTTTGTTGGGAAATTTCGGGCTAAGAGAAGCTATATTTGGCGTAATGCAAGCTTCTTTCAGAAAAGTTTCCCAAATATTTTGAATCCATTTCTAATATAATCCTTAGACCTTGATAAAGTGGACTAGATTGGATTCCTTGTTAGTTTAATTCATTTCTCTCAGAGAATTTTTCATAGTTTTTTGCTTTCTATGATTGATTTTGATGTCCATGTTGCAGGAAGAGGGACTGAAGTAAACAGATATTGTTATAGAGTGTGGGGCCAGAAATGGCTTTTTAATATTCTTGTGCGTAACGGTATGAACAGGTAGATACGCGTTTCAAAGATAGGCAACATCAAAAGAAAATAGCAATCCCCTCTATATATCTTTGTCTATAAATTTTATTCAGATATTTTAGAATCCTTCTGTATTTTTTATTTAGTTTCTAATACATGCAATTAACAATATGATCATACACAAAACTCTTCCACTGCTTTAAGAAATTTATAATTGACTCTAAATGGTGACTAAATGAACATTAGAGAATATTAAAGTTAAAAGATGTATTTTCTTTACAAATATACTCCAAAGCTAAATAATTTGTATAAAATATTTCTTGTAATTGGCTACATGGAGCGAAACTAATTCGGATAAAGCAAAGAGTCAAGTGAGATGAGATTAACACACTGTGTTGTTAAAAGCATTAGAAATATTTATTGCAATTTTACAATACCTAATTTTACAGATGGCTATACAATTCCAAGAGGGGCGAGTTGCGTTGTGTGTACGTTCTACTTACACCGAGATCCGGAAATATATCCGGAACCCGAAAAATTTGAACCAGACAGATTTTTGCGTGAAAACAGAATCAACATTCCAGAGTATGCATTCGTTCCTTTCTCAGTTGGGCCAAGAAACTGCATAGGTAAGACTTGTAGAATATTTTAAGAGTTTGTAGACAGTATTTTAAATTTATATTGTTTAAAAAAAGACAACTTTTCTTTAAATATCATCCATAAAGATTTTTTTCCGAAATGAAAGAAATAAAGCAGTTCTTTCTGTTTTCTATAAATAACACAGGCTTGCAAAAAAAGACTTAGAAAGATTTTTATATTATTTTCAGTGCTGATTTCAGAAATTTAATTCATTTTTTCGATCATGTAAGGTCTTTTCACAGAACGATTTCATATTTTGGAGGAAATTATCCAAATCAAATATTTTAACATTTTTTTTTAATTTTATCACCTCATAAATATATATTTTATATTAATATTCCAGCTCTGTTTTGATTTAAATGAGTAATAAATTTATAAAAAAGTTACATTTCTTTTCAGTACCGGTTTCTCTTTTTCTCAAAGCTTATTTTTTCACTTTTTGTCCCAGGATTATGTCTTTTCATTGGTCAGCAATAGTCTGCTATCATGCTGATATACCAACTTCCTTGATATCATATTTTTGATTCCTATACATCTTAGTGAAATTTTTCATCTTGCCTCTCACTGACTGCATCAAAATTTCCAGAGAAACTTGTCCAGGGGGAATGCAGAAAATGAACGAAAACGAAACTGCGAATGGAGAAAATGAACATTTAAGTTCATATTACAGCCTAGTATATATATATATCTTGACATTTCCAAACATTTCTTCTACAATAGATATCAAGTTTGGGTTTCCTTGGTTATCAAGAAAGTTAATAATAATTACTTTCAAAGGTTTCTTCTTCTTCTCGCTTTTTTTCCAAATTGAGTTCAAAATTTCATTCTTCGTCAGTTTTCTGATGTCATGATCTACAAATAATATTTCTTTCAACTTTGCTTCGGAAACCCAGGGAACTCTTCACAAGGGTCTTTAAAACATTCTCCTTCTTTTGGTAATGATTTAACAAATCGTTTTATAAGGTCCAATTTTATATCAAGTGGTGTTTTCCAATATATCTGGAAGGGATAAACCACTATACCACTAGAAGACTGAAAGATGGAAGAGGGATGAAAGTCTGGCAGAATTTATATAGGGAATATTATAATTTGAAATCTATAAATATGTTTAATAAGTACATGCAAATATTATTATGTTTCCATTAAATGCACAAAATACGTACAGTCGCGGAAAGAAAGGATCCACCCAGAATTATTCCGCCGCTAATCATTTTATATTAAAACAAAAGGTACCATTTCAGGAAATAACGTCTACTAATAGATTCCATGTCTCAAAAGTTCAAAATGGTTCGTCTAGATATTTATAATTGCGCTGACTTCAAACTTTCCAATCGGAACACATATTTTTCTTAAAATATTTCAAATCTACATAAAACTTTATGATACAATACCACGTTCATCATACCAGCATTTTTGGTTTCGGAATTATAAGCAAATGAAATTTTGAGTTTCTAATATTAAAGTAAAATTTTGAATTTTTGTTGCTATCTTGAGAAATAATGTAACTATTTGCCTAGGATTTTATTTATGTGGTAGTATGAATTATTCTGCACATTTTACACTTTTATTTTAAAACACATGAAATATTTTATCAAAATAGATGCTAAAAAATTTTTGAATAGCAACACTTATAAATTTTCACAGTAATCGAAGCAAATGGTCATTTGATAAGTTTATGCAAAATTTCAGCATATTCGTAAGAGAAGTTTTGAAGTTTGTTTAATTTTCAATTTTCGCTATAGAACGATGCACTTTAGAAGGCGTCTTATATTTCGAAAACGTTTTCATTATTAAAAAAATCATTTTACCATTTTATTTTTTAAACTTCAATATATAACAATTTTAACTATTTACATATAATATTAAAGATTTATAAATTAAAGTGGTGTAGTAATAATCGATTTATTTTTTTACGCATCATGTTCTATCGATTGAAAAATATAGATAATTTCTTTGAAAATAATATCTAAAGTGCGAAATAATTTAGAATGTTCCTACCAACATTTAATGGCAAGACGAGACTTTAATAAGTAAATGTGGAGACTGCCTCTTTT